GATCCAGCATTTATAAGCTTTATGAGCGAACAGATGGAGATCAAATATCAAGAATCGTGAGTTAGAACCAGAGAACACATTCCAGCTCTGGAAACGAGACGTCCTGATCTCAAGCTGACTGATTTTTGTTTTGTCTGCATACGTCGTTGCTTCATTCCAAACTGGATCAGGTCTTCGATCTGATCCTCCGTCCTCCTCCGTTTCCGTCTGGACAGTTGCTTCGCCGTTTGACGCCGCTTTACGAGATCAAGTTTCCTGACTTCTATGTCTATTAGAGACTGAAACACTGATGATAATGAAGCCCTTTAAAGAAGGACAGAACAAGTGATTGATAGTTTTCATTCAACCTTTATTTATACAGGTTAATCCCATTGAGCCTTTGGGACTCATTTACAAGTGAGAGTCCACAGTGAACATGGAGTGTGAATCATGTTTTTGTTTCCCAGTTGTTACGTCCACTGATTTCTAGGGGTTCTCTGCACATCCTTTCTCCAGTTTTTTTTTTTTTTTTTGTTGTTTACAGGCCTGCTGTCACACCATGATGCACACCTGGATTCACTTCCTCCTCATCAGTGGACTGCATAAAAGCTTCAGTGATCCAGTGCCATGCTTTGGGCATTTCCTCTTCCCCCTGGGCTTGTAGTGGTGAGGTTGACTCTGAACCTTTCCTGCTTTTTTTTTTTTTCAGCAACCACGTGTTCTTTTTGTTTCCTTCTGCTAATTTAAGTTTGTTCTACCTTTTCAGCTCCTTTTTAAAAAGCATTTTTAGCCAATTTCACCCGTTTCCAGATAAATTTAAGTTTTTATGGTAATTTCTGCTACTTTCTGTCTAATTAACTTCTTTGTGCAAATTTCAGCTTGTTATGCTCCCTTCAGCTTAATTATGCTAGTTTTAGCTATTTCTGCTATTTCAGCTACTATTTAGCTGTTTTTGTGCTAAACTTAGCTTTTTCAGCTAATTTCACATTTTTAGCTCATTTCAGCTCATTCCACTTCCTTCTTTTAGTTTGAGCTTCTTTCTGACTTTTCATCTACTTTTTTATGCTAATTTCAGCTTTTTAAAAATATATTTTTTAGCTAATTTCTTATTTTTTCTGCTTATTTAAACCAAATTCAGCAAATAATTGTTCTTTTGTCATTCTTCTGCTTGTTTGTCCATTTCAGCATGTTTTAGCTAATTTTAGCTGTTTATCAGCAAGTTCTTCAGCAATAAACATTCACTGTGCATTTTCACAGGAAATCCACTTTCTCTAGTTTATAATTTATGTTGCAGCCTGTGCCTCCTACTCAGTCCGTCTTACTTTATTTTTTTGCTTTTTCAGGTTGATCATAAAATCAAAAGATTTAAAAACATTTTTATTTTGCTCCTCAGATATTAAATTTTCAGACATCTTTTCTAATATTATGAATCATGAGTAATTCTTACAGAATTTACTATCGTTTGCATGTTGCAATGTCTTACGTCAGGTGTCAGAGATTTATTAGAAGATGTTTTTAGTCTAAAAAACAACTTGAAACAGCCCTTATTTGGTAAACCAGTGCTCCATGACTGATGTCACAGCTGGGATTAAAAATAACCAGACAAAACATTTTTTCAGGATTGAGTGTGACACCACATCATGTGTGTTTTAATTAAACTCCGACGTGATGTTAAACATGTCTTCTTTAGCACGTGAGCAGTTTTAGTGGCTCCAAACCTTAAATGCAGTGCAAATGCTTATTGCTGAAGAACTTACTGAAAAACAGCTGAAATTAGCTAAAAACATGCTGAAATATAGCTGAAATGAAAACGCAGGTCTAAATTAAGAGTAGAAAGCAGAAATGAGCACAACAATTAGGAAATTAGCTACAAAAGCTGAAATTAGTAATAAAAAAATTAATAAAAACAGCTGAAAAGTAGATGTAAAGACAGAAAAAACTAAAGTTTAAACAACCAGAATGAATCAGAGCTGACATGAGCTAAAAGCATATGGAATTGGCTAAAAAAAAGAAGCTAAAATTGACATAAAACAGCTAAATAGCAGAAAATGCTGAAACTAGCAGAAAGAGCTGAAATTAGCAGAAAGAAGTTAATTAGGCTGAAAGTAGCAGACATTACTACAGAAAACTTGAATTTATCTGATCTATCTATCTATTGAGCATGCATCAGGATGTTTTCTGAAAACAGCTGAAATCAGCTAAAAATGCTAAAAAGATTATTGAAAATGTAGAATTAGCAGCGCAAAGCAGAAAGAACACATTTGCTGAAAGAAGCAGAAATGAGCACAAAGAAGAGAAAATTATCTAACACCCCCCAGAAATTTGCAAAAAAAAAAAAAAAAAAAAAAAAAAAAGGCTGAGAATTAGCTAAAAATGCAAAAATAAGCTTAAATTAGAAGAAGGGAGTTGACTGAGCACATTTTTGCTGAATTAGACTGAAAAAAATGGAATTAGCTGAAAAAGCTAAAATTGGCATAAAACAGCTAAATATTGGCTGAAATAGCAGAAAAACCTGAAACAAGCAGAAAAAAGTTAATTAGGCTGAATGTAGCAGAAATCGCCACGAAAAACCTCAAATTTATCTGAAAGCAGCTAAAAACGTAGCTGAAAATGTAGAATAAGCTTAAATTAGCAGAAAAAGGCAGAAAGAGCACGTTTGCCCAATTAGTCTGAAAGAAGCAGAAATGAGCACAAAGAAGTGAAAATTATCTAAAAAATAAAAATAAATTGGCAAAAAAACTGCTGAAAAGTAATTAAAAAAGGCAGAAAGAAGCTTAAATTACAAGAACCAGGTGTAGAGCAGATTTTTGCTGAATTAGACTGTAAAAAGTTTAAATGAGTGCCAAAAAATTTGGAATTAGCTGAAATAGCCAAACAGGCTGAAAGTAGCAGAAATTACCACAAAAAAAAACAACTCCACATTGTCTACTGGAGATTTTCAAGGTCTTATTTGATTGGTAGCTGTCAAAATATATAAAGACCATGACCTCAGAAAGTACCAGAAGTTGAACTCTCTACCTGAGTGTCAGTTCCTTCAAGCTTCTCACTCATTAAAATGATGGACGCTTGTTAAAACCTGCATAGATTAAAAAAACGTCCAACTAAACAATCACAATATCTTCTACTGAAAACAGTAAAAACACACACTGAACCCTCATAATACACAAAGTATTACTTTATTTAGTAGTTAATCCTATAAAAATGCACCCATAACTCCCAGGTCTTATAACAATAGCATAAGAAATTAAATACAGTTTAGTTCACGTTTACATCAGGGTCCACTTCCACTCTTTTTGTCAATAAAACCAACACTTTAATGTGAAGTTTAGGGGAAACAGCCATCATTCCCTATATGTCCTCGGTACTTTCATATAATAAAGTCACAAAACTTTCATATAAAAATCAACCGATAAACAAAACTGAGCCACTGCTGATTTCAGCACCAGGTGATTTTTTTTAGCACGGTTTCCCATTTTTAAAACATTAGAAAATCAGCTCTGTTTAGAGTTAAACATTCAGAAAAAAACAGTGAAATATAATTCTGACAGGAGTTGGACTTTTCTGTCCCACAAACTTTACACTGTTCTTCTTGGCAGAACTCTGCTGCCATCTGGTGGACAAATGACTGAATGGCTAAACGTTTACATCAAACTGAACTCCAGGTGCATGTTCTCGTTGAATCTCGGTGCAATGACAATAAACCTTATTCTGAAATAAAGTACCAAAAAACTGAAAAAAGTACAATATTTACAAGGTCCTAAAGAGAGATAGTAAACAACATGGTGCAAGCAGGATGAATTAGTATGAATATGTATTTCACAGGTGGTAATATAAGCTAAAATGCACATAACTAAGAGATTGTTTGACAGGTTATTGCACAGCAGCCACGTAGTGCAGCAGCAATAACCATATTACGTGTCATAGATGTGGCTTGGTGCAGTATTATTAATTGTTCAGTATTATTGTCAAAAGTTCAGTAATCTGACAGCTTGTGGATAGTAGCTGAGCGTTTCCATGTGCGATGGCAGACTCCTGTATCGTCTGCCTGAGGGTAGTAGACAGAAGAGTCCTTGTGCTGGGTGGGTGTGGTCCTTAATGATGCCGCGTGCTTTACGCAGACATCGACTGTGGTAGATGTCCTGGATGGTGTGGAGGCTGTTACCAGTGATGTCCTCTGCTGTTTGCACCACGCTCTGTAGAGCTTTCTGGCTCTGACTGGTGCAGTTCCCATACCACCCTGTGATGCAGGCTCTCACTGGTGCACCTATAAAAGTTAGTGAGGATGCTGGTGTTCGTACCAAACATTTAGTTTTCGTTTTCTTTAGTACCAAACTTTCTAAACCGGAGACGACATGAGAAGCGTCTTACCTGCTGAGGAGTAGAAGTCCGATGTCCTCTTCTCAGATGAGAGTACATTTTTATGTCATTTGGAAATTAAGGTCCCAGAGTCTGGAGGAAGAGTGGAGAGGAACAGAATCCACGTTGCTTGAAGTCCAGAGTAAAGTTTTCAGTCTGTGATGGTTTGGGTCTATGCTGGTTTTGGTCCACTGTGTTTTCTGAAGTCCACAGTCAGCGCAGCAGCAGGACTTGTCTCCTGCCCACACTGCCAAAGGTACCAGAAGCTGGCTGTGGAATATTCAAATTTTCTGAGACGCTAAATGATGGTTTTTCATGATTTGCTAGCTATAATGATCAAAAACAAGAACAAGGGGCTTGAAATGTTTCACTGTGTCCTCTCTCTTTGTGTCCTACGCTGCATAAAGACCAGTTCATTCAGTTTCTGAATGGGAGCTTATCTTTACGACCTCATAATAAAAACCCTGACACAGACAGACTGAGCTGCGCGGCACACTGTACATTTACACCCTCGAAAGTGAAACCTCAAAAACAGGGAAGTACCTCAGTTCTGCCTGAATGGGAACAGCACCACAGTCTTTAAACTATGGTGGGAGGTCGGGTCGTTGGGACAATCATTAACCAGAGCCAATATTCAGAGGGGTTAAAGAGCGATTGACAGCAAACCTGGGAGTTTTCACCCACTGTGAGTTATACTTTTCACTCTTTAGATGAACCTAAAGCTTTGTCAGACAAAAACTAATTCAAAAATAGTTGTACTTTGTATGTCATAACAATCCAAGTTCTTATTTATCGACATTTCCAGACCCCGACGCACTCATTTTGAATCTTTAGTGGAAGAGTTTGTGGTTTTGCGTTGCTAAACGGATCGGTTTCTCCTCTGAAGGTCGACGATGGACAACTTGGCCGGACTTCATCCCAGAGAGGCCGTGGAGCGAGCGGCCACCTCGCTCGGCTGCAGTCCAACCTGTGCAGAGGTGGCTGAATACTTTGACGAACACGACAAACTGAGGCATCTCAGGGAGAACTTTCTGGTGCCCAAAGTGTCAGATCTGCGTCCCTGTGAGTTCAACTTTTTCCACTAAAGCTAAGTTCAGACATCTGGAGGTGGGGTTCTGTGGACACTGTAAAAGAAAAAACTAAATACACAATTTAATGGTTCTTGACCTTAGGAAATACACACATTTCTAAGCTAATATGCACATTTTGTTAAACTTACAGACTTACTGCAAAGGACTGATGCAGAGTTGCATTCGGGCCTAAAAAAATATGACCCGGCCCGAGCCCAACCCGACCTGATTAACTAACTGTAATTAGAGGCCGGAACCCGAAAAAAAGAGAAGCTTTTACTGCTTTTGAAAGTAAATCAGTTTGATAGTTTTAAAAATGTATTTCAAAGAAAGGCAAAAAGATTTCTTGTTTATTAACGAGTCACCAAATGAATATTAACATACAAAATGAATAGCCTAAAAAAAATCAACTGTAAAGATAGGCTATTATACAGATAAACAAAAATATTTTTTGAGCAAAAATAATTTGGAAAAATATAGAACAAGGCTAGTTTAATTGAACGCGCTGCTCGCTTCGGCTTTTGTAGCTTCAGATGCTTCAACTTCCTTCTCCGCAGATGACAGCAGGGCGCGGAGCGAGACGCACACGGCCGATGATCCGGTGATCCATTGGGTAGCTTATTGGGACTTTTTTTTTTTTTAACCTCTTTCAACCGACCGGTCAGCGGACGCTAGGAATGCGCGATATATATGGTATACGGTAGAAACGATAAAAAATTTTATCCTACGATATAGATCTGTCTTCTACCAGCTAGCCGCAGTAATGCTGTGTGTGATGTAAAATCAGAGTTGTCAGTTTATTCGTTACTTTTTTAGTTAAACTATGCGTAAGTGGTGTTCAAGTGTAAAATCAGAGCTGTCAGATTTAATTGTTACTTTTTTGGTTGAAAACTGTGCGCAAGTGGCATTAAAGTCTTTTCTTCGAGAGCTAAGTAGCGAAGCTACAAGCTAACTACAGCCGGCTTGCTGTAGTGTTACCGTATTCTGACGCTTGCGAAAAACGCCGTGTTCCGTCGAAAGTTTATTTTTGTTTTCGTTGAAAGTTAAAGTAAGCGTTGGTCAGCTTTAGAGAAACCTGCTCTCTGATCTGTAAAAGAACGCTGTGTTGTGGGATTTTACTGCGAGACCCTCTGGTCAAAGCCACAGACTCATTTTATGTCAGCTCTCCATTAAAGCAGAAGGAGACGCCCACTAGAGGTTTGGAGGGTGAAGTGTTTCAGTGTAAAATGCTGCTCTGTTGCTGTTCATTTCTTAAAACTGGAAACTGTTGAGTTATAATTTTTTTTGTTTAAAACATATGGCTAAAACTACATTTGATATATTTTGCACAGTTTTGCACTACAAACAAGAAGCCTAATACTTGATTTGTTTATTATTTAAAAACTCTCTGGACATAGTAGTGGAATTTTCCTAATTTAAAATATAGGATGGCAAAAGGACACCCTATGCTTTTTTTTTTTTGCAAGTTTTATACCAAAAACATATTGCGATATATATCGTTATCGCCACCCTTCACAATACATATCCTGATATGAGTTTTATGCCAAATCGCACATTTCTAGCGGACGCGCACTGCTGATGATCCAGTTGTCCGTCTGAGGCTTAACGGGACTTTTTCTTTACCTTTTTCAACATGCCAGTCAGCGAATGCGCGCAGCCGATGATCCCATTGTTCATCTGAAGCTTAATGGGACTTTTTTTTTTTTGCCTCTTGCAACCGGCCAGTTGAACCTGAGCGTGCACCTGACACACATCAGCAGGTTTCACTGTGCTGCCTTTGTAGAGTAAGTTCTCCTGTTTTTAGTTTTGCTTTTCTACTTTCCAACTCCATTATGTCGCTTGTTGTGGGTCAGTTGCAAATCCTCAGATGTGTGATAAGAGCAAAGCAGGGCAGGCGGGGCCACGTGTGCAATTGTTGCGAAATGTGCCAGTGCTACTCTCTGTCTTGATAGTCTGATTAACTTCTGCACTCTAATTTCTTCCTCATCCTCAACATATAAACTTACTGCCTCCTCCTCTACAAGTAGATTAACACAAATGTATATTGTGCATTCTTATTTAGTTTTCTTTGGGCTGTATGATTCGCAAAACCGCATCAAAAGCCCAAGACCGACCCAACCTGCAAATCAAGCACATAATTTTGACCCAACCCGGCCCGAATTTTGGGTCGGGTCGAAAATCGCAACTCTAGAATGATGTACACTTTTCAAAAGGGGGGGAGGGGATATATATATTATTTTGTTACGCCTTCCAGTATTACCCCCTACAATTTGCCATGGCGCTCTTCTTGTCTGTGATTTTTGTCAAGGGAGCACGTCTGAGTTGCGTGCTGTTTGTACCGACAGTTTTTGGAGGGGGGGGTCAGCGCGTGTGTTTAGTATGAGGGAAGAGGTTGCCTTTACCTTTTTAGCTAGCGCACTTGTATTGCTCGCCACTAGCTTAGCGATACATCAGTGTCGAGGGTGTGTGTGTGCATGCAGTTTGGTTCGGAACGCAGGGTGCTTGGTTCTGTTGACGGGTCCACCCCGCTTGTATAATGGTAAGGGAAACACTACCTTGTATAACTGGTATGTTGCTATGCTCACAACGGACTCATGTTCAGGCTGCTGTTTAATGTAATATTACATTATTACTGTTTAGTGTATATCTTAAATCCTTATATACTGTTTCTTTTTATACTTTATATTTTTGCTATTTTTTGGGTGTAAATGGGACCTTGGGTACACAATTTCGTTCCCCCTCATGTGCCACATATGATGCGAATGACAAAAAACCCCACCTTGAACCTTGATTCTCCCTCGTGGCAAATATTGACACACCATCTGATGTACTGTGACCCGGGTGCAAGCAGTGTTCCCAACTGTGCGAGCAGCCCCTCCTGTCCCAAAGTGCTCAGAGCAGAGACACACTGCAAACGAATCACGCATGTGCACTGACGCACATCCCACTGACCCCACTCTGGGTGACGAACCTCCCTTAGTGCGCCTCCAACCTTCCTGGGATTTCTGTATCTACAACTATAACTTGGGTGTGTGACCAAACCTCTGGTCCTTGGGAGCACGCAGCCTGTTTGAGCGTCTCTAAGAGACTCGTGTTTCTGCTGCTTTAGTTCTCGCTTCTTTCGGCTTCTCCCTTCTTTATGGGTCACCACAGCGAACCGCTTCTCTTCAGCCCGGTTTGGCTCGGTTCACCTCGACTCGGTTCGTACACGTTGTGTTTCCATTGCCCCTTTCAGTACCGGTTCCAGTGGGCGGGGTTCAAATTGACGTCACGCACCTCACCAGCTGGTGGTGGTGAGACCCTGAAACAGGCTTCAATACGGTCAGTATTTTAAAGTTTCTAGTAAATTAAAAACAATACTGATTATTAAAATGATGGAACTATATCTATCTATATATATATATAAATCCTGCTAAGAAACTTTTAATGAACTTTAGTTCACAGATATTTATTTTTTTTAGCTTTGCTTTACAGTTTAATTCTTGTTTAGTGATTGTACATCTGTGGGTTAGAATAAAGTTGAACTAAAGGCTGCATCTCTTCTTTAAACATGTTTGAGGGAAATGTTCCTGAAAGATCCAATAATTTTGTGTCTTTTCTTGATTTTTCAGCCGAGTTAACTTTTTAACAGATTATTTGATAGTCATTAAAATAAAAACAGATTTCACGATAAAGCCAGAATTGTTTATTTATTTTTTAAATCTTCACTGATTAAAAAAAATAATAATAATTTATACACAAAATGTTTTTAAAAATCGTTTGCAGGCGAGGCTGAGGTCGGGGCAACGGCCTTCTGCGAGTCAGCAACTCATATGATCCTCCGTGGTGTCCAGCGAAGCTCGCAAGGACGGGATCCGGAGCCCAAGTCGGCACCACGGAGGATCTTCTGCGGTTACTGGCAGAGGAGCCCGGCTCCAAAGCTCCTGTGGAGGACCCGGGAGATTGGCGGATGGCATATACATGTTAAATATATCTTCTTATAGCTCCATCTAGCTCGCTCTAAATTTTGTCGTCGGCCACCAAGCACAAAAATCGCATTAGATCACGGTGTTATCATTGTTTTTAAAATCTTAAATAGATCCAGCCACTGCTCCGAGTTCCGAGAAATTGCAAATCGGTGTTTTGAAAAGTTTTTGAATGATCCAGTGACTCCTCCCCCTGACTGACAGTGTTCTGATGTCACGTTTTTGTGCCTGCTCGGCCCGGTTGGTGCCACCAGAGAAGCCGGGACAAAAAAGTGTCCGGTTGTGAGAAAAAAAATGATAGCAAAACCACACCGAACCAGGGCTTAATTCGCACAAAAGTTCGATAATTCTTTAGTTCCTACGATAAACAATATTTACACTAAAAGACATGTTCCAGATTACAGCTATGTTTAACTTTTTTCCTCCCAGACTCAACGTTCTCTCTTTGAGTCTGTTTCAAGTGTTTGTAGTTTATCTAAAATATTTGTACGTCAGTATCTGTACATTTTTAAGAAATGTGGAATGACAATAATTTTACCTTAGTACAATATCAATGTAAGCACATTTTACTTTATACACAGAGTTTCATGTACCTTACAGTAGAAATTAAATTTCAGGATTAACCTCACCTTGAGTGTCACGTGACATGATTATTCCTGCAGGAAGTGCCTTTACAAAAAAAAAAAAAAAAAATGAAATTAGAATTAACAACATCAGAGTTGTAAAATTACAGTCGTGTTGACCCTAATTATGTTTAGGATAAACTTTACTCAATTCAGAAACATTAAAAGCAATCTGCAACAGGTAAGATATTATCTATTCATAATCTTACCATAGAACCCCACTTCAAAATAGCTAAATAAAATAAGTAACGTTATGTCAGATGACCAAAATGGCTGATTTAGACTCTGTGCAGCTGATCTCTCTGTGGTGGACGGAGGCAAAGACTGCATCTACCTGTCGGGAAACTCTCTCGGACTTCAACCCAAAATGGTTCAGAAGTATCTGGAAGAAGAGCTGAACAACTGGGCCAGAATGTGTGTTACCTAAAAACAATTATTACAAATATTAACGGTTGTTCTTTTTAAATACAGTCTTTATACTCTCTTTAACAGGGGGGTCCATGGTCACACAGAGGGGTCCAGACCGTGGGCGTGGGCTGAGAACACCATCGAGAAGCTCATGGCGAACCTTGTTGGTGAGACGATCGACTCCTGCTCATGTTTCTACCTCTGTTAGAAAGTCAAATCTAAAAGATGCAAAAAATATATATTTTAAATGCAAATTGCACCTAAATCCAATAAATAGACTATTTCAGTTAATAAAAGTAAAAAAAAAAAAAAAACTATAATTTGTTTTTGGTTAAATATCTAATTTACAAAATAAATTAAGCCTTAACTACTACATTTTTCAATTTAATTGTTCTAAATAAATGACAAAAAAAAAAAAACCACACCAACATTTTATTACATGTACTCCTAACTATAGTAACTTATTTGATTTTTCAGCAGAAAATGAATAAACACAAACTTAAATGAATAAAACGTCGTCAGCTGTGGGGTGTCCTGCAGGAGGGACTGGTCCACTTTACAAAATGCACGACATCACGAGAAACATATTGAGGGAAAAGTCCAAGCGACGTCTCAAGACATCACCCAGTCAATGTGCTCAAGTGTCAATCACAAAAGCCCTGATCTCAGATCAGTCAGGAGGAACGGGACAAAATTCCCACAGAACTTTGTGAGAAGCTTGTAGAAGGAAAGCCAAAAAGCTCGACTCAAATCGGACAATTTAAAGGCACCGAAACATTAAGGAAATGGAGGAAAACGTGTGATTTTCGAAAAAAATAGTTTTTAAAAGCCTCTCATAATGCAAGCAAATATAACCATAGTTTGGGAATCTTGAGACAAAGTTTGCCAAAACAAGAAAAGATTGGAGAAAAGGTTTTTTGTTTTTTTTCATACAGTGGGTGGAAACCTCTGATTTCAGCTTTAGCTTCACACATTGTTGGGTTTTATCCTTTTTTTTTTTTTTCAAACACAATTTGAAAGTCTGACCATAGAACATCGCATTTTAAACTTCCCAGGCCTCGCCCCGCCTAAGAGGGAAAACATTTTCTATCCCCTCAGTAAAGTTATTAAACAGCATGGGATAGATGTTCATCGTTATGCTGATGATACACAGTTATATTTGTCCATGAAACACAATGAATCCAATCAGCTACTTAGACTACAAGCATGTCTTAAAGACATAAAAACCTGGATGACCCTTAATTTTCTGCTTTTGAACACAGACAAGACTGAGGTGTTAGTTTTTGGACCTGAGCATCTTAGGAATAAATTTTTCAGTCTTTCTCCCTTCTTAGATGACATTAATCTGTCCTCCAGTTCTGATGTTAAAAATCTTGGTGTTATTTTTGATCAGGACACGTCTTTTATCCCCCACATTAAAAACGCTACTAGAACTGCCTTCTTCCACCTGCGTAATATCACTAAAATTATAAACATCTTATCTAAAAATGAGGCAGAAAAACTGGTTCATGCATTTGTCACGTCTAGACTGAACTAGAGGGCAGCACGGTGGCGCAACTGGTAGAGCTGCTGCCTCTCAGCGAACAGGTCCCTGGTTCAAACCCTGGTCCAGGGGCCTTCTGGGTGGAGTTTGCATGTTCTCTCCGTGCATGCGTGGGTTTCCTCCCACAGACCAAAAACATGCATGTTAGGCTGATTGGTAACTCTAAATTGTCCCTAGGTGTGAGTGAGAGAGTGAATGGTTGTTTGTCTCGTTTGTCACCATGTGGCCCTGTGATGGACTTGCGACCCGTCCAGGGTGTACCCCGCCCCTCGCACAGTGATTGCTGGACATGGGCACCAGCGACCCCCGTGACTCAAAATGGAATAAACGGGTAAAGATAATGGATGGATAGACTGAACTATTTCAATGGTTTATTATCTGGGTGTCCAAATACTTCTTTAAAACATCTTCAAAATGCTGCTGCCAGAGTCTTAACTGGAGTGAGGATACCTGCTAGTAGTCTAAGCCTATAGCAGCATAACAAGCCAACCCTAACTATAGGATTTATCAAAAAGGAAAATCTTAAGCCCAGTCTTAAAACGGGACAATGTGTCAGCCTCATGGATAGAAACTGGAAGTTGGTTCCACAAGAGAGGAGCTTGTTAACTGAAAGCTCTTCCTCCCATTCTGCTCTAGGAACCACAAGTAAGCCTGCAGTCTGAGAGCAAAATGCTGTTAAAAAAAAAAAAAGAAGGAACAATAAGATCTGTAATATAAGATGGAGCTAGGTTGTTGAGGGCTTTGTAGGTCAGAAGTAAGATTTTTAATTCTATTCTGAATTTGACAGTGAGCAAATGGAGAAACTAAAACTGGAGTGATATGATCTCTCCCACTAACTGAAGATAGGAGTCAGAGTGATGCCTTGCCTTGTATCATGTAAGACGATGCTTACAGTGGTGTCCAAACGTTTGCATAGGTGGGCCAGAACTGTCTAGATGAAATGACTTGTGAATCAGAAAAATCTGAATTTAAGAAAATAAATTTTTCATAAAGTGTGATTTTATTCTCCAATCTGCCCAAAGTTTAAATTATTGTAGATCCAGAACAATAAGACTCTAACATGAATCTTATTTGTTTATTTATTTGAATAATTTATTAGATTTTGGGGGTCTATTGTTTTCTTGTGCTTGAAAATTTGATTTTTGTTTATTTTAAGAGACAAAAGCCTAAAATGAGTAGCTGTTCTTAAAAAAAAACAAGGGGGTGGAACTTCAAACACCCATTTGGACCATGGATGGCCCAAAAGGGTCATCGAAGTTCTGAAAAAACATCCAGCTGGCAGTTACTAAAACAGATTCATGGAAGGTTGGAAGGGACGTTGGAATAAAGACCTAATAGATTTGATCAACTTGTATGTTGATGATACCACTTTATATTTTTAAAAATGTCCAATTTTTAAATCAACTGAAATTGTTTTCTTTGAAAACTCTTGTTATATTTAGCCAAGTTTTATGAATTATCATCCAAAATTCTACTTTTTGTTGGGTCAGTGAAGGTTTTTGTTGTAGAATAAAGGGATTAATTATAGCTACATATTTGTATTGCACTTAATATCGCTCATTTTAATCTAGTGTACTGTTGAACCTAAAAATGTAAAAAGTATCGCCATTAAATCTAAAAAATATGCATCAACTTTTTAATTGCAGTTGCGGGCTGCATAAAATCACTCCTAGGGCCGCAGATGGCTCACGGACCACACTTTGGACACCGCTGTCCTAAAGTATTTCCTTGTGGAAATGAAGAAAACTGAGATGGCAACATAAGATGGCCTCTCTGGCTGAAATATTTTCCATTTCAACTTAATAAAGATTTCTCTCATGGATTTTTATTAAGTTAAATCAAATAACTCATCGGCATGCCTGCCATTTGAATAGTCCTGGTCTGCACATTAAACTATTTTAAATGTGACGATGTCATCATGTTTGATGGCTTAAATACTGCAAATATTCAAATTTCTGGGAAACAGTATTCCTTTGAAAGGAGGAATAAGAACGTGATGTTCGTTTTAATGTTCATCACAGGAGCTACAACTGAGGAGGTGGCGCTGATGAACGGCCTGACAGTAAATCTTCACCTTCTAATGGTAAAAACTAGAAGAGTTTAATACACATGTCAAAGTATTATGAAAAGTTCACCCGCTTCACGGTGTCGTTCTGCAGCTTTCTTTCTACAAACCGACGACGAGTCGACACAAAATCCTTCTGGAGGACAAGGCCTTCCCTTCAGATCATGTACGTATACACTTCTTTCTGCGTTCAACGTCCTACAAGATGAGTTCTTTAAAAAAAACTCTTCAATTGAGTAAATAGTTACAACTTTACATATTTATGTATTTTTTAGGTTTAAAGGTTACAGATGAGCCACAGCTTAGAGACATTTATACGGAGAATGTCACTTAAATAAGGCAAACGTTTACGATGGTTCAGTGTTGAAGAATAGTCAAAAAAATGCTTTTTGTTTGGGAGGAAAGGGTCTTTTTATCTTAGTCGGACCAACATGTTGCTCTTTTTACTCCGTCATGAATTCAAAGTTCAATAAAAACGACTGAACGTGACTTTAAAATTGTTACATTCGTTTTTGTGTTTTCAGTACGCCGTCGAGTCTCAGATCCGCCTGCGAGGATTCGACCCTCAGCTCAGCATGCTGCTGCTGTCTCCCAGACCGGTACCGACAACTCAGACTGTCCACTTCAGCGGGGGTCTGCAATCTTTACGATCAAAAGAGCCATTTCTGCCTCTTTGTTCACTAAATTTAACGTGTCCAGAGCCACAATACCTGCTACAACTGGGATTGTCAACTGGTGGCCCATGGGCCACTTTAAGTCTGTTGGAGGGTGCTTTTCTGGCCATTAGGGGTGACATTGTAAAACTAAAAACATCTAATGATTTTTAACATTTATTTATATTTTAAGACAAAATAAAAGAGGAGATTCTTGTAAGGACAGAAAAATAAAATAGTTTTTGCCCAATTTCTAAAAACTAAAACAATAAACCATGCAGGCCTATGTGTTTATTATTATTATTATTTTTGTTTGTTTTGGTAAAAATAAAAATCAGTAGCCTACGTTGAAGAAACAAAGCACAAACTGAAAGTATGTTTCTAGTACAGTAGTCCCTCGCTACTTCTCGGTTCAACTTTTGCGGACTCGCTCTTTTCACGGTTTTTCAAAATAAGAGTGGACATGACACGCAGTTGGCTGACTGATGGATGAGCCGCACGACCGGCATGGATTGTTTACCTAAAATAAATTTTAAATAAGTTAGCTCCTGCTGCACCTGTGTGCAGCCCACAGGCGCAGGGAGAAGCTCCCTCCTGCAGCCTGTCATGATCTCCGCTCTCTACCACCTGCCAGCGATTGCAGTGGGCGTGGCCAAGAGCGGCAGGTGACTGCTCTTTTAGAGCGTTTAAAGTTTAGAGTGTGGGAAGGGTTTAAAACGCCTTAATATATGAATGCTAAAATGAACTACTACTACTTCTATTCCCACTTCTCGGTTTTTCACTTGTCGCGGAGAGGCTGGGAACGGAACCCCCACGATAAACGAGGGACTACTGTGTTCACATATTTGCTAAATAAATTACAGTGAAACTGCTAAAACTAGCCCTTTTAGATGTTACGATCAATAAAATCCAGTTTTATGTTAGTTTTGGTCAAAAGCTTGAAAGAGCCGCATGTAGCTCCAGAGCCGCAAGTTGCAGACCCCTGAACTATGCCATTCATTTACTTAATTAAACATGATTTGATAAGAATGAACAAAGTTGCCTGCAGAAAAACAGAAGGAACATTTGTACATTAGCTGATACGTTAACTCGAGTCAGATACCTGATATCTTTTCTTGGCTGCAGGTCCATGAACAATAGTTTGATCTGTTGCTCACGTGAGAATCAATCATGATAGAATGATCCAGCCGCCAAGAGAAGTTTACACTAAATGATGTATTTATCAGTTTTTTTTAAAGAAAATTTAGAAGAGAAACAATATTTTATATTTAAATTATGATCTTGGGGGACCAGATTTGATCCACGACGTGTGTGTGCTATACGGTGACTTTGCCTCCTGTTGGTTCAGGGAGAAGATACCCTCAGGACTGAGGACATCCTGGAGGTGATTCAGAAGGAGGGAGACAACATTGCTGTGGTGATGTTCAGCGGAGTTCAGTACTACACCGGCCAGCTGTTTGACATGCACGCCATCACTGAGGCTGGACACAAAAAGGTCACTTAAACGCAGACACCCCCCACAAAAGAACCAAGCATCTTAACTGACGTGTACTCCATTTGGCTTCCAGGGTTGTTTTGTAGGGTTCGACTGCGCCCACGCAGCAGGAAATGTGGAGCTGAAGCTGCATGACTGGGGCGTCGACTTCGCCTGCTGGTGCTCCTACAAGGTTCGCTGAGAGGAAGCAAAAAATAGGCAAAACATATTTAAATAAGGACTTTACTACTCTTTTTACAGTATATAAACTCGGGTGCTGGTGGACTTGCTGGGGCGTTCGTTCATGAAAAACATAAAGACACCATAAAGCCAACGTAAGTTGCTGCACCAACTAGACCGAGTCAAGCTCTAAAATAAAAAAAAGTCCCCTCTCGTTCTGTTTACGCATCATGAAAGAAAACTGATCCAGGTTTTGTTGTTCTGCAACAACTCAAATCCACTGTCACAAACTAAAGAAATGGCATTTCCTGTGAAAATGCAGTGTGAATGAAGAACTTGCTGAAAAACAGCTGAAATTAGCTACATGCTGAAATGTAGCTAAAATTGAAGAACAAATCTCAATTAGCAGAAGAAAGCAGAAAGAACGCATATTTGCTGAATTAGGTTTAAATAAGTAGAAATGAGCACAAAAAATAGGAAATTAGCTAAAAAAAAGGCTGAAATTAGCAACAACAAAAAAAAGCTGAAAAAGCTAAAATTGGCATCAAAAGAGCTAAATAGTAGCCGAAAGAGCAAAAAAAAGGCTGAAAGGAGCATAAATTTGTTAGACTGAAAGTGGCAGAAGTTAACATGAAAAACTTAATGTATCTGAAAACAGCTGAAATTAGCTAAAAAAAAAAAAAAAAGCTAGCTGAAAAGGTAGAACAAGCTTAAATGAGCAAAAGAAACCAGAAAGAACATGTTTGCCCAATTAGGCTGAAAGAATCAGAAATGATCACAGAAAAGTCGAAATTATCTGAAAAACAGCTGAAATTAGCTACATGATGAAATGTAGCTAAAATGAAAGAACAAATCTCAATTAGCAGAAGAAAGCAGAAAGATCCAAAAGCAGAAAGAACACATATTTGCTGAATTAGGTTTAAATAAGTAGAAATAAGCACAAAAAATAGGAAATTAGCTAAAAAAAAAAAAAAAAGGGCAGAAATTAGCAACAACCAAAAAAAGCTTAAAAGGCAGAAATAAGCTTAAACTACCAGACGGAAGCGGAAAGAACTGAAATGAGCTTAAAAAAAAATCTGGAATTAGCTGAAAAAGCTAAAATTGGCATCAAAAGAGCTAAATAGTAGCTGAAAGTGCAAAAATAAAAAGCTGAAATTAGCATAAAGATGTTAGACTGAAAGTAGCAGAAATCAACATGAAAAACTTAAATGTATCTGAAAACAGCTGAAATTAACTAAAAATACTAAAACGCTAGATGAAAAAGTAGAACAAGCTTAAATTTGCAGAAGAAAGCAGAGCATGCATCAGGATAAGAAAGCAGAAAGAACATGTTTGCCCAATTAGGTTGAAAGAATCAGAAATGATCACAGAAAAATGAAAAAAGCTGAAATTAGCAACAACAACAAAAAACAGTTGAAAAGTGGCTAAAAAGTAGAAAGAAGCTTAAATTACACAAAGGAAGTGGAGAGAGCACATTTTTTTCATTAGCCTGACAAAAGTTGAATTTATTGCAAAAAATGTGGAATTAGCTGAAATATATAAAATTTGCATAAAACAGTTAAATAGTAGCTGAAATATTAGAAAAAGTAGAAACTTGCATAACAAGCTGAAATTAGTAGAAAGAAGTCGGAAGAAGCACAAAAATTTTGTAGTTATCAGAAATAATCTGAAAGAAGCACAAAACGGCTGAAAGTAGCAAAAAAAATAATACTTGCACAAAGAAGCTGAAGCAGAACAAAATGTGAAAGGAGCAGTAAAAGGTAAACAGATCTAAAGATTTGAAGGATGTAAAATGAGCTCAATTCATTTCCTATGAGAAAAGAAATGGCAGAAAAAGCTAAATATTTCAAAAAAGCTGAAGTTGCACCAATACCAAAAGCCATAGCAGGATTATCCTGAACGAGCTGAAGGTTTTGATTAATGAGTTGAAATAGCACAAAAACTGCGGGACGAGAAACATGCGGAAGAACAATGGATCACAATAGTGTGAATGCTTCATAAACATTTACACTATTAGACAAATATCTGCACGACTAGATCAAATCAGCTGAACTGTAGTTTACATTTCATGATTATTATTATTTTTCCATATTAAACAGAAAACCCCACAACTGATTGTTTCTTACAGGTTGTTGGGATGGTGGGGACATGACCTGAAGACCCGCTTCCAGATGACCAACAGTACAAACTCCTCCCACTCAGTGACGACACTTTACTGCCACCTTATGGTCAACTTGTGTAATACATCCGTCTCGTATCTCTTTTCAGTGATGGAGCTGCAGCCAGGAGTGAACGGGTTCAGGTTATCAAACCAACCCATTCTTCTAGTCTGCTCCCTACAGGCCAGCTTAGAGGTAAAACTGACTTTTGTTTAAAAACACGTTTATTTCCTGTTCGCTTTAAAAAGAAACCAATGTTTTTTTAATCTCCTGTAATCGATTTCAGGTGTTTAACATGACCAGCATGCAGGCGCTGCGCAGCAAGTCCGTACTCCTGACGGGGTACCTGGAGTACCTGATTAAACACTACTACGCGGAGGACCCGTCGAAGCCTCACGTGCACGTCATCACACCCTCGGACCCTCAACAGAGAGGCTGCCAGCTGTCGCTCTCCTTCTCTGTCCCCATCAGGAGGGTCTACGAGGAGCTGCAGAAGCGGGGGGTCGTCGTGAGTGCCATTTCAAACAAACCTCATCACCAGGTCAACGTGTTGAAGCAGTTTGGGAAGTGACACGAACGCGGTGCCGTTTCTCGTTGCGCAGTGTGACATGAGGGAGCCCAGCGTGCTGCGGATTGCCCCAGTGCCGCTCTACAACTCCTTCAGAGATGTCCATCGGTTTGTCGACGCGCTGGGAGAAGCTCTCACAAGCAGCAGATGAAGAGGACGCTCTTCTGTTATCGATGGGTGAAGACCTGCACGAAACCAAACCAAATAAACGTTAGAAGCATAAAATAATGTGACCCAGCAGATCGACGTGAGGATTATTTCACAAAGTGGTATGTTGCGATACCGGCAGCCATATTGCATTAGTTGAAAAACATGGATTTGGTGAAGATATGATGAATAAATACGTCATCTATAGGTCTCGAGTGAAAGTTTGGAGATATGATCAACGAGCTACAAATGATTTTGAGCAGAAAAGCCGTGCATTTAGCTACTTTCCTCGTGCACCAGTGAAGCTATTTTTAATATCAGCTGAGAAATTGCGATATCTAACTATGGTTTGAGGTTTCCTCTTTCACAGGACGTCAAGAAATCCTCATTAGAACTCGGTGAATGTGGATTCAAGCCAATTTTTCAGGGGTTAACAAGTCAATCCTAACTATAGGATTTATCAAAAAGGAAAGTCTTAAAACTGGACAATGTGTCAGCCTCACAGACAGAAACTGGAAGTTGGTTCCACAAGAGAGGAGCCTGAGAACTGAAAGATCTTCCTCCCATTCTGTTTTTGGAAACTCTAGGAACCGTAAGTAAACCTGCAGTCTGAGAGAATAGTGCTCTGTTGGGAAAATATGGAACAACAAGATCTCGAATATAAGATCTCTTAGGTCTCTCTTGTAAATGAGTCCTCGAGGCTCAATGGGATTTACCTGTCTAAATAAAGGTTGAATGAAAAAAGATGGAGCTAGGTTGTTGATGGCTTTGTAGGTTAGAAGTAAAAGTTTGAATTCTATTCTGGATTTGACTGGGAGCCAATGGAGAGAAGCTAAAACTGGAGAGAAATGATCTCTCCCACTAACTCCAGTTAAGACTCTGGCAGCAGCATTTCTGATCAGCTGAAGATGTTTTAAAGAAGTATTTGGACACCCAGATAATAAACCATTGCAATAGTCCAGTCTAGACGTGACAAATGCATGAACTGGTTTTTCTGAATCATTTTTAGATGAGATGTTTCTAATGTTAGTGATATTACGCAGGTGGAAGAAGACGGTTCTGGTAACGTTTTTAATGTGGGGGATAAAAGACATGTCCTGATCAAAAATAACACCAAGATTTTTAACATTAGAACTGGAGGACAGATTAATTCCATCCAAGGAGGGAGAAAGACTGAAAAATGTATTCCTAAGATGCTCAGGTTCAAAAACTAAAACTTCAGTCTTGTCTGTGTTCAAAAGCAGAAAATTTAGGGTCATCCAGGTTTTTATGTCTTTAAGACAAACTTGTAGTCTAAGTAGCTGATTGGAGTCATTGGGTTTCATGGACAAATATAACTGTGTATCATCAGCATAACAATGAAAATGTATCCCATGCTGTTTAATAACTACCTAATGGAAGTAAAAAGTATTGGTCCAAGCACTGAACCCTGAGGAACTCCATGACCAACTAAACTAAAAGCCATTGTGCCCATTTCAGGGCATTTCAAATTGTTTGCTTTTTGTAGCCATTTTTGGGCTCGTTCAGCCGATCGGAGCAGACGGGTTCATCCAGAGAGATGCTCACCTGATAGAAAAGTTTAATTTGTCTTGAGGATTTTGGCTTCATTATTTTCTTAAAAATAACTGAATATTATCAGTAGAATTTCACTGAATGATGTAATCTGTCCCTAAAACCTTTTTCAGCATCCAATTTTTTTTCCATCTGTGTCTAAAACTGTGTCTGAAGGCTGTCTTTGACGAAGTCTATGAAGTCATAGTTTTTTTTTTTTTTAATTTATTTAAAAGGTCATCAACTGCTGACCCTTTTAGTTTTTTTTAAAATTAAACAGTAAAAGAAGTACGGCACATTATACGCCCGTAGACAGACTTTTCCTTTTGGCTCGCTCCCTTCTTGAGGGGTCGCCACAGCAAACTAACTCGCACCAAGACTTGACATCCACCGACCACCGAGCTACCACAGCCCTCTGTGTGGAGCACAGAGCTGCCATCTAGGGCGCAGATGGTTACGGTTAACTTCCACGCAGATCCTCCTGTGTTCAGGGCTGTGTTTGTTCCGTCATGGTGGGGGTTAAGGGGCTTGTTCAAGGGCCCAGAGTGGGTCTAATGAGGATGGAGGCAGGTGTGGGCTTTTCACCTTTCCCACCCACGTTTTGATGTCGTCGGTCCAGGGGATCGAACCGGCGACCTTCCCATCACAGGCTCACCTTCTCTAACCTCTGGGCCACCACTCCGCCACCTGTCAACACACTTCTACAGCAATCTATAGCAATGGGTTGGACCAGCAAAAACCTTGTACAAAATTTGACCTTGATTTGTGATCTTGACCTTCAACATCAACGTTCATTAGATTATCTTGAGAAGTTATGGGCAGGACGAGAGAAAGTTTACGGATGTACGGACAGAGTATACAGCTTAATTGTCAGCGTGAGTATAATAATAATAATAATGTTCAGGCTGAGGTTGGACGTGAGAGACGCTCTCAGGATGTTTCACTTTCTATTGATTTAAAAGAAGAAGATGTAAACAGGACTCCTCATCACTCTCGTAAAAGGAAGTTCAAAACTTTAATTTGAGACCAGCACTTCAGGGTCCACCCCTCTCAGTGCGGGGTCTGAAAATGACCCGCACACACCAGTGAGCCCCCGGTGCTCCTCTCACCAATTAACACCTCCTTCCTACGCCGACTTCTCCCGAACGTTTCTGCACCGTTACCTTGACGGACGCCTGCTCCACCATGGGACATAATTGGCAAATCAATATGCAAAACCTAAATAAATTAACCTTCTTTAAAACTAACGAGCATTTGGACGCCCAGCTGGGCAAGGGACCAGAATTAACATTTGTCATCTTTTTTTTTTTGG